ACATATATTAATGATATGAGGTTTTTGTAATAGATATTTATAGATATATAGCTTTAAAAAAAAAATCGGGACCTTTGATAAATATAGGTACTTTTCAGCTAGGTCGGAAATATATTTTAAGTTTTCTTTTCTTGCTCGTGTATGATGATTGGTATTCTTGTTGACCGGACTCCGTTTACCTAATTAAAGGGAGTTTATTATAAATACTGCATTTATTTCGAACTTGTGTTTTATTTATTGAAAATTGTAGTTGATAACCTTTACATTAATATTATTTACAATACAACAATACACATTATTCATTTATAATACAATCTTTCGTGCGCATGTGTTGCGTGAGGATGCATGTATAAGACACTAAATTTATGTCGAGCAAGTAATGAACCAACGCGTTTGAGTTTCATTTACTTAGGACATTAATTTAATAATCATTCTAATTTATGGTAGATTAAAAAAGGTTTATTTTAACATTTTGCGTAATTGTATGGAAATCAAAATTTATAGTTTCAACCATAAAAAGCCGCAATTGCCACGGTTATAACAATCGAATAAATAATTTGTATTCAGGACTACCTTTTTGATGAATTAAAAGCATGTCATTATTATTATTATGTTATCACTTTACAGTTTACAATCCGATGCAACAATCCGATTAGAAATAAAAAATCTATATTATTATATTTAACTAAAAATATGATATCCAAAGAAATTACATTTATTAAAATTTAGACAGTAATAAGTAAAATAGAGCTTGAATTCCATTTTTGCATTTAAGATCCAGCAAGAATATCAGTGATTCTAGTAGTTCCTTAAATATTACAATTAAACAGCACTGTACAATTCAATACAAAATACTTTTACATAATATGTTTCAAGAAAAATCCGACTATACTTCACGTCACAATTAGCCCGCATATTCAAATATTGTTATTAATTTTTCATGAAACCAAAATAAGAGAGCTCTTCATTTACTAAAAAGCTTCTATACAATTTAATGATATTTAATGATCTAATAAAACTGTGCATTTTCTTACATAAGATGGTTGTTGACTGTTGAATATTATTTAAAAACTACCAAAGCGTTCATTATCTCACTAATGTCTTTTTGGATGAACTGAATTACTAAATATACAATATCTAAACCTTACGCAGTAGAAAGATTATGATAAGAGGTATCTATTTTTATACGCTACAATTCCATAGCATATATACGTACAAAACATTAGGTACATTCAAAATTTTGATATATATTAAAACAGCCAAGTTGCAATGCATATGGTGTATAGTGTCTTATTTCCCTTTCATATCTCTTGACACAATCATGTTTATACAAGAGCAGAAACGTTAAAAGTGACAAAATGTGGTGATATGACCTAAATGATTAATTGTCAAATATTTTATGTATTAAATTTTTAATGCTGATAGATGTTCCAACTATAAATCAATATAAACAGATTGCCGTAGTCAAAGTCGTTTAAATAAATTGTTTTAACGCTACTGAATAAAGACTTAGTTCACATATAATAAATTCTGGCGTTAACTAATCGGTCATTCGTAGTTGTTGCTATTCAATCGTTCATCAGGACAATTATTAGTCTAATATAAGAGAAAAGGTGATAGATGATGCCGAGTACCACCAAATATGTCTTTTAATCCCTTATAACATTACTTAAAGAAAATTAAAGAATTATAATATGCTTATGTGTGAAGTGGTAATTTTTTTTTTCATAAAAGCGATAGGCGCTTAAGGATAGGACTTGGTACATATATACTTAAATATCTAAGTGTGGAAAATTATATATTAAAATTTGTAGCAAAACGGTTGAGGGTTGTACCCATAAATTTAAAACATCATAACATGTATAGTTTATATAAGTATTAGCAATTGTAGAATTTGTAATTTCAACAAAATATCGTAAAGTTACGAATAATACATAGTTATTATCATCAAAATCATTCACCGTTACAAATGTCTCCATTATATTTTAAGACAAATATACATATATAATTTTGCAGCTTATAAAGCGAATGATATGTAATTTCACCTTAATATAAAGCGATGTTAGTTTTATAAAAATAGGAATGCTGAGTCTCAACCGGGAGTTTCACCGACGTTACCAATGTTTTAGTGTTTGTTATATTTGAAAAATCTAAGGAAATCTACTAGAACATACCAAGTATTAAGGAATCTAGAAGTCAGAAAACTCAGGTCACGCATTTACACGTGCGGACACAATTAGAGAACCCGTAGCACAAACAATATCTGAATCAAATAACGTCGTTGAATAGTACTAGTAGATTTTTTGTATACAAGAGCGCTTGAATTTTGCAAACAAGGCCACGTAAGTTTGTTAGCAAATCGTACTAAAGTAAATAAACTTCGTCCGAATAGAATAGTAGAAAACTGTACGAATGTACTAATTGTGTCAACATCTAGTCAATATTTTTCATTCACCAAAAGTTGACCTTTTCGTACTGCTCGTATAATAATTTATAATGAAAATATATAAGTTCGTGCTAGAGTTATTTTGAAACGATATGGATTATTAAAAACAACTATTGATCATGCAGCATAAAGAAATACTTAATTCAAAATAGAATAATCAGCACACATTAATTAATAAAAAAAATGTGTTGATGATGTCTTGGAAAGTTTGATAACGAAACACTTTTTCGCATGACGGCATAATCGTCAAAAAGTGGCATTTAAATGTTAGCTAAGGGCTAAGTAGCCTTCGAATTAGTTCACCTAACAACAGATTTCACTTCACGTAATCTCGTTAATTTATACGAATAAGTTGTATTCAAATTTCGCGATTAATATTAAAGCTAGGTTCGCTCTGATACCTGTTAAACTACTATGTTCGCGGTCAAGCTCTTTCGTATGTTTTTTCGCCAGCAAAACAATTACTTACATAAATTAATTGAAATGTTATTTTATCCCTTTAATATATACTATCATAATATTCAAAGCACAGCCAAAACGTGTTCTTAAATAGGTACTTCCAATATACAAATTATAGGTAATATACAAATTACCAATATGCCTACTTAATTACTATTTTTAAAACAGTTGACTCTTTGGTCCGCATAATTTAAGTGATAAGCAGTGGCAAGGTGCTTGCAAAATCTTTAATGATGTGTTTCTAAATAAGGAGCAATGTTACTCTTATTAGCAATATATAAATCATTTAAAATATAGAAGTTAAGCGTGCCCTTCAGCATTTTTTCATATAAATTATAGCTTCTGCATTTTGGGTTTTCATTTGTATTAAGCGAAGTGACAGAACACGATTTATTTACTTACGCAAATTCTTTTATCAGTAGGTTACAATAACTTTTACAGGTCTCTTTGGATCAATGTTCTAATTCGATAGCAGCTGCTGGACGGATTAAAATATTAAAAAACTTTGAAAATTAAAAGCTTATTTTGGAGATTAAGCCATGACTGAATTACTAAGGAAATTTTGTAAAACAATGACAACGTTTATGGCTAGCTCGTACGTAGCTTTGTAACTAAAGCTTAACTTAAGAGTATAAAAAAACACTTTCACAAAGAAACAATCAGAAAAAATTAATACAATTCTTAGTATTATAGATTTATAATTATGTACTGTTCCAAAAACTTATGAACAAAACGGTGTCATCGATTTATAGCCATGCCTCGAACTCCAAATTCATTACCCAATCCAAATTGTAACCCTTTAAAGCAAGAACTACAGGTAGAGCTACAGATTGTCTAAGCATCTAACATAAGGCGATAAATTATCATAGATAATAATATTACAAATAAATGACGTGTCAGACAATTTTTAATTCATAAAAGTATATTAATATTATTTAGAATTTTCTTGGACGTTGTGAAATATAAGCTAAGCTAAGGAACAGTGTAGAGAGAGCAAATGTTAGTAATCATATCAAATTATTTGAGAAAATAGCCTTAATAAATCATTTATATATATATATATATATATATATATTGGAATTAATCCTAATAATTAATTACTTGCCTATATTGCAGGGCCATAAAAACGAACTAAGCTAGAATTTTACATTGTTTTTTTCTAAGGTTTATCATTGTTTCAAAAATTAATTTAGCAAAACAAAATATTTTCTAAATTTCTTAGAAGGCATGTTCATGGCTTTTAATTTACATAAAGTACATCTTGATAAATATGGGGGACAAAGTAAATAAATGTGACTTAAATTCTTATTTTACATAATTCTTTTCAATAACTTTGTACTGTCATTGATTAAATCAAACGTGAATAAACTTTATACAACATAACAATTTGAGCTTTTTAGGTTTTAATGTCTACAACTAATAATAATAAACATACAATGAAAACCTTAATCTAAGCAATTAAACACTTTATCAGTTTTTAATATAACGCTGTCGTAATAATGTCGCTCCATACGAAATCAGAATATCACATTGTGTAGGAAAGTGACTAGACTAAAATGCATGATACTACAACTATAATAATTGGTGAACAGCTTAATTAATTGTTTATAAAATTATTTTAATCTCTCATATAATATAGCTAATACTCATTTGGACTGAATTGAGGTTTGAAATAGATTTCTTTACTACAAGGATGATAAACCCATCAAGTTATCAATCAATCTGCGTACATTTAACATTTATTTGTTCCCACATTATTCTATCATAAACATTTAAACGATCTTCGTCTTGTATAATTAATGGAACCTATTTCAAAACCTGTAAAAACTCCAATTGCACTAACATTCTATCACAAATATACCTTAACATTACGTAAGCTGCAACGACTCTATTAATTGTATTTGCCTACATAAATTTTGTCACAAACAGTTCATAGGTATAATCACAATCACAAATAGCATGTTTGTTCATCAAAAATATTTTAGGATTCGTGATTTGCTCAAAGTACAAAACAGCAGTGATAAATGAGTAGATTTAGAAAAATATCGAGGTACATTTCGGTCAAATGCACCTCGTGGGTATGGATAAGGCAGCATTAAGAGAAGGCTTTGTAGTGGATGAAGAAAAATATGAGAAACACGGCATAGGCCGTCGGGAAAGTGATGCGCGCGATGACGTCAATAGTCTTCGCCACTCTGATTGGATGTGGAGGCTCTTTTTTACGGACCTGGACGAAACATGGCTGAAAAATATTAATTCGAAAATGAATGATGGCAGCAAATAAAAACTATAAAAACAAAAATGTATATACTATATCGTATTTTTCTTTACTATTAATAATAATTTTAATATTCTTGTTTATAAAATGTGTGACCCTAAAAATAATTTTCCAATGAAATCTATCGGGCGTTATCTATGTAACATAGTGAGTACCTAATGCATTATTATAATTTATTATTATTGTTACTTATTATTATTATTACTATAACTTATATGCATGTTTTGTGTTGCGTGTCCTAAAAGCATAAAAAGCTTCGAGGTGACTGTAGAGTGTGAATACCTCTGTAACACCTCCGTTGTTTGCCGTATGGGTGCAAGATCCTGGTGCACCCGTACATGCTGTACAGGTCACCAAGTCCGCGGCACCCGTTGATTCACGCTTTTTATCTCCCTAGAGAAAACAATCAAAATTAATGTTTTATTCAAGTCTTAAAATTAAGCAGTGATAATGTGGCACAACTACAATTGTGCGCTACGCGAGGCTACAGGTCGTGAATGACTGGTCGCTAGCTGAATTCATAATGTTTTCTTGCTAATTAAGTATAATTACTAAATACATAAGTAAATGATAGGCTACTTACAGGCTGTAGCATTCCGAAGAGGCATTAAAACAAAAGTATGCGTTAGTTTTTGTGATATCAGGTCTAAGATGGTACGGTGGTTGGCGAATGGATTGATGTTTCAATGACATCACTTACAGCACCGCTCGTTCCCGGTTGGGGAGTTTCATTTCTCCAATGGAGGATGGCCATCGCCTCCTTTAACGATGATATTAAGATTTATTATGATAAGCTGGCTTACGGTGTGGTCGGCAAAGCTGCGTATGTCGCTCGAACAAGCTTTGGTTGATTGTTATTGTTCGTTAGCAATCATTTACATGGTTTAACCGTTTTTCACATGCACATCGTGCATTTCGTGGTTAATTACAATATTAACTACATTGTGATTCATTTTATAGCCTATATGAGTTTACATTATGGCAGATAAGCTATTTTATGGTAATTAACTTTGTAGATCCTATAAGAAAATAATAACACTACCTTTAGGCTTGGCTAAACTTGCTTATTAATGTATTAATTATCTACAAGTACTAAATTACGGTCTAAAAAAACGAAGTTTTAACTACAACATGCGATTTTAAATTGATTGTGATTTTTACAGCTTCTGTTATATTTTCTTATTATTTTATATTTATGCTTTAGTTATGCAAAAGTCGCATCCTAAATCTAATAACAGTCCTACTTTATTAGTCTCCCATACAAAACTTACCTGTTTTAAATTTTAAAACGAGAAACTAAGCATTCCTTTCTATAGCCTTCTCTGTGTAATGGAGCGGTGTAGTCTACTGAAAATTGCTATTACAAAGATGAAATAAATAAAGGACAAATAGAAAAATTTATAATTCGAATAATACAGACAACCAAAAAAGTAGGACGTTTCTTTAAGAAAAAATATAACAGAGTGTTGTCGGGACAGTGCCAATGAGAATGGCGATATCTCTTACCAAAGGACTGGCCAGAATAATGCCAATTCTGCTGAGAACTGCTGGTAGACGCTGTGAACACATTATACAGACTGTTTGTTCACTCGTGTCAGATGGTCTAACGATGTGCAGAAGTGAAAGACTAGATTGTTGTGGCCAAACAATATTCACAAGAACACACTGAGTCTAACTTCATTTTGTTTTCACATCTATAACATCTTTGCAATGTTTTCTTTTTCGGAATATTATTTACAATTAAGACATTAATTATGAGTACCCGCGGCCAAACAAAATAGTCTTGAAATGATTGTGATAATCTTTATAACAATCACATTCAAAATTATAGGTATAATTTTGAAAGCATGCATTACTGGGTGAAAACATGCGAAATTTAGGACAAAATAAATTTATTAGTTTTTGTTACAGAGCGTGCGATTGTGGATTTTAAAAGGAAACATTGCAAAGATATAGGATATAATGCTTGACACTCCGAAAAAATATAAATCAACTGAATATATTAAAATAAAAACAATTGAACGTTACACAAAATAACGATTTTATCTAATTTATAAAAAATTTTAATGACTTAAGCCTTTGACATTACAATTCAGTATAAAGTAAGCACTTCTTAAAGTCTACCGTTTCAAAGTTTAACTTATATTGGAAATATATTTAAACACATATTGGTATCATAAAAGTATGTTTATTTGGTTATTTGACAGAAAAGATTTAAAACAATTAAGTTAATGTAGCACACGATAAATTGGTTACTATTATTAGATTCGCCGGTGTATATTAATCTATTAAGTCGATATAATTGATTACTGTTTTAACCCCTAAGTATTAGTTATTAGAACGTAGAAATTATCAAGAGTTATGTGCTTGCTGCTATAACTACTAATCACAGAAATGTTACAAAAAGGCATTATTTATAAATGAAAAATTTTCACCTGCGTAACGGGATTTTCTCCAGGTCTATACACGACGTTATGAAGAGGTCTTTTTCTTCCTACATAGTTGACACAAACGAACTCCAGTAGAGAAGCGTAGATGAAGCACATACATACGCCGTCCCATACGTTCATTGCCGTTAAATTTGAGACAACTGGCAATGTTGAACGGAACCCGTTGGAGGTGGTGAAGAAATTCAACATTGTCGTAACACCTATAGATCAACATTACGGATTTACCATCATTCTGGTGTGGATTTATATTAAAAATGCGGTGTGCAGTGAAATTGAAAACACTAGTGTCAAAGCTTGTATAATTTGTCGATATGCACTAGATTATGTGCCATGCAGATGTAAAATTAATAAACCATACTTTGTAACGATAGAAATATGAAATTTAATTATAAATGGTCCAGCAAAATAAATAATGAACAAACCTATCATAACTCTAGCAGGTACTGCATTCCATTCCAGCCAAAAAGTAATAAACGAGGATGTCACCAAAATGATGCCCGGAATAAAAACTGTGGTGAAGTAAAATGATCGATCTCGCGTGAAGATGAGGTCCACCCTTAGGCAGCTGTAATTACCTAAAATACGAAGCAATGGCTACAAATTATATAAAATAAACGGTGATATCATTCCTTGTCTACATTTGTACATTGCCAACAACATAAAGCGCCTGTAAAGGAAGAGCGTGCTATCACATCTACGTACAGAAGGAGTAAAGACAGTTGCAAGACCGAGAACATTCCAATTGCCAGCCATTTTTACCTATCATGGAACGGGCTGGCACTGCGTTCCACTCCAGCCAAAAGGTGATGAAGGAAGAGGTCACCAGGATAATGCCAGGGATAAAAACTGTAGTAAAGTAGAATGCTCGGTCTCTCGTAAAAATGAGATCCACCTTTAAACAGCTGTAGTTACCTGTGAATTGAATTTCTTTCGTAACTTCTGTGCTATATTTCCCAATTGTATTAAAATACTGGATTTTTTTAGTAACCAATTCTAAATAACTCCATTCAGTGGCCTTGTATTAATTTCTACAAACAAAAGTAATTGAAAACTACCACCCTGCTTGTAAGAGTAACGCGTGTTGTGTACCCGCATTGTGTTTCAGCATTGTGATGACTTTTTCAAAGTTAACAATCAACTAACACGTGCATTCACATACGTGCAGACAATAATGATAAAGTCAGATGTTAAGTGAAAATGGGTATGAGTTTGATTTCGCTGTTTGGTATTCCATCGCTCCTCGCTTACACAACACCGCATTTACTCATACATAAGCGGGAATATTACAATATAGCACCGGACTGTTTAAATCTATCCGGTGCACCTGAGTACCTTGCTCCTCAAAGCGTCTCTGGCAAAGATTACATGTCAGCTCTTCGTCATCCTCGTAAAGTGAAATACCATCAGCTGCTTGCAAAAACGTTAACGTATATTTTATTTCTTGAATTTTATAATAATTTAAAAGTTTTAGTTTAACTTGTATTTAAAAACAGTTACGATATGTGAAAATTTAATGTAATGAAAACATAAACATGCGATCTACTGTTTTAAAAAATTACATTGATTCTAACTACTATATCGTACTCTGGTAAGCCGCTACAATTTTGAAAATACTAAACTCTAATCAAATCTACCTAAGTTGCACTCAAAACTTTCACAAAAACAAGACCAAGCTGAAAAGAGTTAATCAGAATATTTTATCGATTGAGTATCCTCCCCTGTGCAAAGAATAAGGTTGTGCTTGTAACAAAGAAATGGATGTTGGGACTATGCTACATAATCGAGGTCCAAGTAGGCACAATTATACATAAAATACATATTGTTAATGTAAATAATTTCGTTTGAAGCAATGTTGGCATGTTCTGTGACAAAAAATGAACGTTACCTCTCCAACTAGCTTTTATAGGGCATGGTATCGTTTGGTTCTGAATGAGATAGGCATTCAGGGTTGTCAGTGATGGAGACTTCCGGAGTGTATCCTCGTCATTCTTCCACACATACGTTATTGCTGATTGCTCATATGAAACTGAAAAAACATTTGGATACATCTTAATATATATAAATTACGTGTCATGTGGTTTGTCCGCTATGCTGTTGTCCTCCTAAACTACCGAACCGATTTCAATCAAATTTGCACACCGTGTGCAGTTTGATCTAACTTAAAAGATAGGATAGCTTACATCTCAATTTATATCCGCAATATTATTTTATTGCAAAATATTTGTTTATTATTTGGTAGTCACAATTCTAACAGATGGCGCAGTGTTGAAAGTACAAACGTTTCAAATAAGCTACAATTTAATGGCATTACCACCAAAAAAGCATGGTGGCCCCCATGATTGGTGTTATCCTACCGTTTCCCTTGAATAGGTTACTACTATGTAATATAACTAAAACGTTAGCCACAGCAACGCTTGGCCGGTCTGCCAGTCAATTTATATATATTCGAGAGAGATTCTTAATGTAGTAGGTATTGACAGCCCTCATTCCTCAGTATATGATATCTATTTACGTATAATAATGTACTCACTACTTTCTAAGGCGAATGAACACAATGGGTCATCAAATGGAAAAATGTTGAGCCTTCCTTGACACGACAAAATGAGATGTCGTCGCATTAAATAGTTGATTGTGCCGTTGCGATAGATACGCAACGCAAAATGCATTGGAATTATTGGATCCTGCAAGATAATAATTAAAAACAATAACGAATGTAATTAAATAACTATAATGTATTGAATATTCAAATATATTATTAAAACTACATATACGCCTCTAATTAATATTTTTTATAAGGAGACAACGGAATGCCGCATTATTACGAATAGCAGTAATAATGCATGGTTGCTTTTTGTTAACATTTATTTTTGATATAAGACTTAATTTGCTGACAAAGGGCGTGAAATAAAAAATCATATCGTGGAATTTGCGTACGCTTTTTAAATATTCATTAATTAATCAAAACCGTAGTGCAGTTCAATCTATATTCTCGTCTAAGACTTGTATGCACAGATGAAGTAAACGTACTTTAAAGTCTCCATGCATAATGAAATATGTATCTGGTAACCAAATGTCTTCGTGATGATGTATGGCGTTCAGGAAGTCGTAATGAGACTGGTTTGAATAACGTAGTCGAGGATCGTACCACTGCTGTTGTAGTAGAAATTCGACTTCGTATTTCTGAAAGGAGATTAATAAATCACAAATCTAAATAGGTCAATTGAAACAGAAAAGTTAAGAAGAAAGACTTACGAGACTAGATTCATCTGGTGATGCTAAACTAAGAAGTAGCACGCTAACATTTACGGTGAGGACACCTGAAAACCAGGAAATATGATTACATTTCATGTGCCCTTTGAAACTACGGCGCAGCACTGAAGAATTCCCTTTAGCTTTGAAGAAGTTAAAAGCTTTTCAATACGCTGGGATTTCATTCGTAAAACGCTCTACACAAACAAGTCTAACATCTCTGAAAGTAATATTCACACTTAATACCATTCAAAATCTTTTAAAACTGTACACACAACACAAAATTACAGCTAAGATGTACATGCTGAAATTCACAACATTGAACAAAGTTCATGGTAAATAATACCCGCAAGCATAGTACTATAGAGTAAAATCAAGAAATTATAATTTTATTGTAGTAAATTAAGAAAGCTTTTTCAATATTTGCATAGTCATTAACCTCGTAATCGAGAACCATTGCAGATCCGATATTTAAATTAAAAATGCCAATAAACTCTGCAAATTATCATGTTTGTGAAAAGAGAAAATCTTAATTTTTATTTATCTTACTGTAAAAATAACTTAATTGCATGCTTATCTTATTTATAATCGTAACGTAAGATCGAAAGGGGTGGTGCAGTAAAGGAAAGTGTCTTATACTAAAGCGTATGCTGTCTAAATTGCGTGGAGATAAACATTAACGTGCATGTATAAGTGTGAACACAGTAAAACGCTCTAACATTTCTCTTTTCATAAACATAAAAACGCACCACGATTGTGCGACTGAGGCCGAAGGGAAGAGAGGCCGACTCTATTCTGAGCTAAAGTGTCGTTCGGTGTTGTAAGACCACAACAGAACACTGGATCTGCAATAATTATAATTCATGTAAGCGTAGCTTAAATTAATTGTTTTTAAAAGGCGTTCAGAGTCTTTTTATAAATTCTTGAGCTTAACATTTTGCTAAAGCTAGTGTTATTAATCATTTAATTTTCATCAATCACACAAATAGCCACGCCTACATAAATATAGATTAAAGCCGAAAATGTGGTAAATGCAGAAATGTGGTATATAAATGTTAATATTTACCGTCTACTGGCGGCAGCAGTCTTTTGTCGTAGCGGGAATTCTTCAATAGATTGTCCAGTATCTCTTTGTCCGATTTTCCCGCAGCAAAACTGAAACCGTATCTAATTAGTACGCCTTAGAACCATATTAAATTAAAATACCTGAGTGCGTCTTAAATAGATTTAAAAGTTTACTAAAAACACAGAAAAGAAATAATTTTACATTAAAAGTATTAATTTATGATATTTCATACAACTTTAACAGAGAACTATTCAGTAACGTATTCAATTGACTATTGATTAAAGTTATACTAAAATTAGTATTGCAAGGTCATGCGAAGGTAACTTATCATACGAATATCAACTTTACATATGTAAGATATATTTGTGAACATAGTTAAAAATAATTGCAATTATATAAATGAAGACTTTTCAGTTTTAATACAGAATAAGAATTTTCACATCAAACACATTATGCTGCCCTTATTTCGGCTACGTAGAGAACAATTGGTAAATAATATTTTTTTAATTTCACCATTCGTTAGCATTGTTAATTTACTACTAGTTGGCATTGTCAATTCTGTTTTGGAAAAATACTGACTATGATCCTTGTTTCCCTGTACCCTTCATATGTTACCCATGATGCTAAATTTCCTTCCTGAATGATGTTGAAAAAACTTATCCTATGAGTTATTATCACAGTAAATAAAAGATATATAGAAATTGACATCGATGTTTAACTTGCCCGTAGCGAGCTATAAATGTGAAAACATCACGGTTGAACTGAAACGAGGGAGTGTACGCTTGGCCGCCCTTCGCTTGTCCTTATTCCTGCTCATTTGTGCCATTCATATAACGGCCTACACAACTTGTGTTATTTCTGAATTCAATGTTAATGTTAGTAGGGTGATTTTAATGACATTTAATTTGTCTTCTTTCGCATAGAAGTTTCATTTCACTTGTTTAGGCTATCGCGGAATATGCTTAATTAAGAATATCCATAGCGCTAAATCACCTGCATCATGAGAACCCACACATACACACCCTCGCTTACATACTCACACTTTCACACCATTACACAATACAGTCGAATTAGATATTACTTAGTTAAATGTATTTAATTATTTTTATTGCTTTTCCCTTTGATAACTGAAAGATAAAAGTTAAAAACGTTAGGAGTATTTTTATACAAAATACAAGTTCATGCGACTACTGCTGTATAGCACTGAATATTTTTATTTGACTATATAGGAAGTATTCATAATTTTGTTTAATAGGCACTATATAAGCAAGCTCTGAAATAGCATAGGCACTTACATGTCGGATGTGAGTGCTGATACTCTGGTGAGCATCAGCAAGAAGGCTCCGGCGCGTGCCACGACGCATGACCAACCCATATTAGGACATCTGAAATAGTTTTCTCAATAATTATTCTTTCTCAAATACATGCTTAAAGTGATGTCAGATTAGTTAATTTAAGGACCGATGAAGTCTGAAGTTTTTATTTGAAGATTTGTGTACACTAGGTACATAGCAATGAAGTATAAAATTTAAACTTTAAAATTTAAAACTATTTAAAGTACTAGTACTGATAGTAACAATCTCGACCGTTTTGATGAAGACTTTTATTAAAAAAAACTAACATATAATTGTAAATTTAATCCATTCTCGAATCCACTTCAAGACACTAAACAAAATTCATCAGAATCGGCTATATAAGAGAGGAGAAGACTTATATATAAAGTACATTTAACATAGTCTGCCCTGCGATTCTGTAACTCACTTTTGGAACTCACACAGCGGTTTTCGCATCGGCGGTCGCTCTGAAATCAGTCGTGAAGCAGTCATTTTATGATTTGGCATTCTGATAAACAATAAACTACAAGCTCCCACCTTTTCAGAATGCCAAATCATAAAATGACTGCTTCACGACTGATTTCAGAGCGACCGCCGATGCGAAAACCGCTGTGTGAGTTCGAAAAGTGAGTTACAGAATCGCAGGGCTGAACTGATAACAACTTAACACCAATATACTAGAAATGCTTATTCTAAAATTTGTGAAATACTTTAAGTAGAATTTGAGTTTATTCATTACAAACATACAAAATACAAATTTCCTTATTATTATATGACTAAGTATAGATACAGATTGACGAATGTTTAATGAATGTATCTAATCAAAAGCACTATTTTAGTACCAACAAGGCGAATCTAATAAACTCTGAAGGTAAACTATTACAATAACATCGAGTTAATACAAAGTATATTACAATGAATCATTACGACTTAGTAATATTTTGTGCTTTGTAAATGAATTGCACACTGCTAGCGTGTGGCAAGGTCAATTTTTTAATACATGATTTTATGTATACCTCAATTGAATACACGACCTAGTTTGGACTTATGACGTCAATTCAACTCTCAAGTGGTATAAAAAAAACTTGGATTTTAATAATATAGATAAAAATAGTTTACAGCTATTTATTGTTTTTAATTATTGTTCTTATTTAAGTGTTTAATCGTATATTTTTGTCTTATTGTGTTTATAGTACAGAATCAAGTTCGTGGAGAATAGTGTTCAATTGTTTTCATATAAGAGGAGCAAAAGGTACATGTTGGAAATGTATAAAAATATAATATATTTTCAATTAAAAATTTAACTTGTTGAGCAAACAATATTCAGGGGTTTAAGAGGGGTCAAATAAGGATAGAATAGGTTTTCGATTACGGGTGTCGATCACAGCTTCGTTCGTACGTAGCAAAGAGTTATAGTATATATCAGTGTTTCCCAACCTTTTTTGTGTCATGCCCCCCCCCCACTTTAGCCTTACTAAAATTCTTATTTCCCCCTTAACTATCAAGTTGCCCCCCTCTGGGGCGTGGGCCCCACGTTGGGAAACACTGGTATATATATAGAGTATAGTATAGTTATATCACAGGCAAATTTACATATTGTCAATTTTTTAAAGTTTTTAAACCTTTTCGTTCGTCGGAACATTATTCTCTACGCTACGTATACTATATATTATAATTATATTTTATCTGAATATACGGTATGTATATTCAGATAAAATATAATTTATACAATTTGTAAATTATAAAGTAAAATAAATAACACAACGTGTAAAAGACGCAATAACACACAAACCATAAAAAAATACAAAAGTACTGTATAAATTGTTATGTAATTTGTAAAAAAAGCTTTTACATGCATATAAAAATAATTTACCTAATGCATGAGTAAAAAACGAGTGTAAATGAGTGCAATTTATAAGCAAAGACTTGAACAAGTGAAAGCTTTCATGAAAGGGCTTGTTAGTTCGTGCAAATAATATGGGTAAATCAGGGTATTTTTGTAATTTTTTTATTATGAGGCCAATGAATAAACAACCGCCGAAATAAAAGATTTATTAAAAGATTATTATTTTGTTCCTAGAATGTATTCAATATTTCTCGTTTATTTACCTAATACACAGATTTAAACGCATATTTTTAACATTAAAAATTAGATTAATTAAAATCAGTAGCGCTACAACCTCTTTAGGTCTGGGCCTCAGAATTCTGAATCTGTTTCATAATATTTTTTTTTAAATCAAATAGGCAAGTAGGTGGTCAGCCTCCTGTGACTGACACACGCCGTCGACTTTTCGGGTCTAAGACATGTCGGTTTCCTCACGATGTTTTCCTTCACAGCTCGAGCGAATGTTGAATGAGCACATAGAAAGACTGCTCTTAACAATTTTTAACATTATTTACTTAATTATTGGAATGGTGGTGGTTTGTTTACACAAAGGTTTGGATACCTTTTTACTTATTTAAAGAAGCTTTATATGAACTTAATACTCGAAAATCAAGGACAATTAATAATAAAATAATCCTGGTAACACTGGATTCACAATTGACGCTTTTATTTCCACAGAAAATGAATTCAGGACATCTAAAACAAATATCCAACCAATTGAGGTGCGAGGTCTTTCAGATTTTATCCTGATATAAAGTTACATAATTTAATAGTAAAATAAAGATTAAAAAATACCTTCCTGCTGACTGCAGAATGTTGTCCTCATGTGAAAACACTCAACGTCTCCACGCCTTACTTTGCCGAGCTAACATATTGTCCAGATCTGAAAAAAAGATATAAATCACATATAAACCATAAATAGATAATAATTTTCTGTCATAAATTAGATATTTTTAACGAAATGTTCCTCTAGATATTCTCTTATCTCTACTCTCTTCTTTAATACAGTGGCTTTTAAGAAGACACTTTAGTGTTTCCATATATAATCAATAAAATTAACAAGTGTTGCTAGTTTTATTATAAGGTAGATATAGGTATGTATTTTTTTATTATTTGTTTTTACGTAGAATAAACCAGGATAGTAAAAACTGTAAAGAAATCAAGAAAACCTAAAAAATACCTATCTATATGTTTATGCAAATATATAGATACAGATAATGAAGATATAAAAAGAATTATGAAGCGCTAGAACATAATTTTATCTCTGCACTTACTGAAGAACACGTACGAGTGAGGTCAAAAACCTTTTGAAGCTAATTTAAATATAAAATTAAAGTATCTCAAAAATGTTATTTCGCTTATTTCAATAATATAATACAGTTAATTGAATATGGGTACAAATCTGAATTGGTCTAAGATGTTATGTCGATATAAGGCATGTTATGTATAAGCTAATGCTCACTAATATTATTTAATAGTTACGAAGCCTTTTAAGAGTGCACTTGAACGGATATTATTTAAATTTAGCTTCAAAGTAAATAAGTACATTGGTTTCATTTAATCGATTGGTTTTTAGATTGTTGTCCTTTTTAAGGCGTAAGTAGTTATTCTATCGAAAGGCGCATTTTATAGTTTTTTTTTGACATGAGCTAAGCATTCGATTGCGTAAACTTTATTCTTCTTAAAAATGTTAGTGTTTTTGTGGAATCCGAGGATTACAACGGCTGGAAAGTTATACAATCAATATCAATGTAATAAATATGTTGAATTAACACCTAAAATTATCGAAACTATCAATTTCGAAATTATAAAAATAGCAGAACTAATAAGTTCAATATTACCTGTAACAACGAGTTAATTAAAGAAGTTATCAACTTCCTTTCTAGGCTCAACATTAATTTAACATTAATCTTATTTGGAACTTACACATATTATGAGTATCTACGTGCCTTAATAAATTCGTGTTTGCTTTGAGTTGAACTCGCAAAGAGGCCTTAAAAAACGCAGCAATTGTTGCTTATCACGGCCAAGTTATCTCAGTTCTGCTATGGGGAAATTCGGTAGACATGAATAAAGTTTTTATTAATTTGAAAAGTAGTAGAAGTATACCAATTTTTATACACTCGGTATTTTGACAGGACCAAGTTTATATATTCTAGAATCAGTTATGACTGAAAGAAGTACCCACATTTATACAAAACATTTAAAAATGCTTGCCTCTATCTACCGAGGAATACTGGGGTGATGAGGGAGCTACGTCATGGGCATCAAACCACATAATCACCTTCCCACAGTTCACAGGATTCGAATTTTGTAGGCACAGTGCTTCTATAACGTGAAGGAGTTCTTAGATTGTAGTTTATTTTTTTATTTTTATTTTACTTATTCATTGTTTGCTTACTAATTTGACACGGCTCATTGTGCGGTTTTCTTTAATTCATTTTACAACTGTATTTCTTGGAATCACCATGGTTTCAAAACTTCAGTGGTCCCCTCATATTACCGGATTGGCGAAGAGACTTAGTTCTGCAGCTTACGCGGTTAAAAAATTTCGCTCACTAACTGATGTCGATACAGCTAGACTTGTTTATTTTAGTTACTTTCATAGCTTAATGACTTATGGCTTATTATTATGGGGTCATGCTGCTGATGTCGAAACTATTTTCATTCTGAAGAAGAGGGCTATTCGTGCAATCTATAATTTAAAATGTAGAGAATCTCTGAGAGATTCAAGGAAATTAATATAGGTACCTTACCTTTCTACTTTCTACTTACCTTGTACCATGTATACAAAAATAGTGATAAGATTACTAGAATAGAACATAGGCACAATGTTAATACTCGGAACGCAGGCTGCAATTTCCCCGTACTAGACTATCTAAAGTTAGTAATTCTTTTTTGGGAAAAGGGATACTCTTCTTTAATAAAATCCCAGAGGCTCTTTTAAAAAATAAAGGATTACTTTATTCATATTGTTTACTTAAAAACAGGAAAATTTTAGAAGAAGCGATATTAGAAGTAACAATTTAAAAATGATATCTACCTGTTTGTACGATCGAAAATTTAGTTTTCAGGAAATACATACAAAAATAATCTATGTTACATCGTTAACCTCTCAATTGGGTAGGTAACATTAATTCAATAATGGTGTGTATA